ATGGACTAACTTCTTTACCCGCATTCGCCCGTAATGTGGGAACCCTTGCTTATTTAACACTACACCCGGGCGCCGGTGTAGCGGCCCTTGCACACTTTTCACTGTATTCAGGCTATACAGCGCGTCGCTTCCAGGGGACGCCCTAGCACTTACACAATGATCAAAAGGATTCATGTCATGATTTTTTCGACAAGTTTTACGCTGGCTGTCGACTACCTAACGCAACCCTCCACTTTTCTCATCCGGGCTTGGGACCGGCAACGGCAGTGTTAAATTTAATTGCGTAAGCAACAACATGAGAAAGGGAAAAAAAAATCATGAGAAAGGGAAAAAAAAAAAGATCAATATTTCGATGTTTAATGTGTTTAGATCAATATTTCTAAATTTAATTGCGTAAGTAAGTAATGTTAAAATTTGGATGTTTAGATCAATATTTCTAAATTTAATTGCGTAAGAAAGTAATGTTAAAATTTGGATGTTTAGATCAACAACAACAACAACAACAACAACAACAAAGCCAAGATAAGAAGAGTGAGAAGGTGTAGGAATTAGCATAGATTTTGTTTCAATTTAAGCTGAGAGTGAGATGTGAAAGGAAAAGTATATAGAGTAGAAGACATAAATGTCGGGGGACTAACCCTTGTTATTATACAACAACAACGACAACAAGTATTTATGCCACTAAGTGGGGTTGGCTACACGAACCCCTTTTTCTCCTTTTGTCTTATTTACTCTCATATTTGCATTTAATTTTAATAAACTAATATCATTTTTTATACAAAATTCATAAACTTTTTTAGGATCACATCTACCTTTATTAAATAATTCAAATCTAAAACATCTTGGATCATCAGATGATCGATGTTTAATGTGTTCAAAGCAATTAAGACGACTCCCTCTGATATTGTCTATCGCCGGAGGTACTCCAATCCTCTCACCAATATATTCATCCTGCATTTTGCCTCTAAGTTTAAATCCACTTATCCACTTCAACATTCTCTTTTACTTAAGCGTCTATTGGATTTTTGTACAATACTAAGATGTTTATATATCTCCATCACTCTCCAACACACAACGCTTATATATTTCAAATTAACCCCATTATAAGGCAAAAATAATAAAGCCTCCACATGTACATAACATTATTTTTCAAAGGATGCATATAATTAAATTCGAATGCACTCACATGCAACATTCAAATCCACTTATCCACTTCAAATTCATATATTTTCTTTCTAGATCAATATTTTCTAAATTTATTTGCATAAGCAACAACATGAGAAAGGGAAAAACAAAAATAAGGAGAGTGAGAAAATGTTTGGAATTAGCATAGCTTTTGTTTCAATTTAAGCTAAGAGTGAGATGAGAAAGGAAAAATATATAGAGTAGAAGACATAAGTATCGAAGTACTAACCTCTTGTTATTATACAACAACAACAACAACAAGCATTCATCCCACTAAATGGGTTTGGCTAAATGAATTCCTTTTTCAACTTTTGTCCTATTTACTGTCATATTTGCATTTAATTCTAATAAATTGGGATCATTTTTTTACACAGAATTTATAAACCATTTCAGGAACACATCCACCTTTCTCAAATAATTCAAATCTAAAACAACTACTCCCCAACTGGATCATGATCGATGTTTAATGTGTTCAAATAATTTAAGACGACTCTCTTTAATATTGTCTACCACACGAGCTACTCCAATCCTCTCACTGATATATTCATCATGCATTTTGCCTCTAAATTTAAATCCACTGGAACATTTTCTTTTTTTTACGTGTCTATTGAATTTTTGTACAATATCAAGATATTTATATATCTCCATCACTCTCCAACACACGATGCTTATATATTTCAAATTAACCCCATTATAAGACAAATACAATACACTCTCCACATGTACATAACATTATTTTTCAAGGGATACATATAATTAAATTCTAATGCACTCACATGCAACATTTGAATTATTATTTTTCTTTATAATATAATAATCATAAATCACTTCAAAATACTCATAATAAATTATGTATTTTTTTTTAGATAAAATAATATTTATAATAATCTTAGTATAGATTATATATTAAAATTATGTGAATCAATATAAAAAATTATTTATGAATAGATAATGCAATTCATTTTTCTTTTGTTAGGAAAGCCCATTGACTACACCGATATGGGAGAAAAATTTGCGTACGTAAGACGTACGCAGCGCTGCGTACATAATGAATATTATATGGGCGTTATATCGACATTATATTCGCATTACAGTATGTATAACTTATCTATAATTTTATTAAACTTATAAATAAGTTATGCACTTCTATTTTGACATATTTATAGGTCACATGTAATTTTTGAGGGTTTAGTGAAAGTTTTTTTTGGAATTTATAAACGCAGCCCTGCTTTAAGGGTCCGTTTGGGGCAGCTTGTGCGTTTCAGGATAAGCTGTTTATCCTGAAACGCGGCCCGCGGGCCGGGCGTAGGGCGCAGGAGTTGGCCCGCGACCTGCGTTTAGTGTAAAAACCCAAACGCAGTTTCAGATAAACTGGGGAAAAGCGCGAACCAAACGGTATGACGGCGGCGTTTTGATATAAGCTGCCCCGTTTGAGGCAGCTTATTTGGTGCAGTGACGTTCTGAAAACGCACCTGGACTGTTTGGGTAAACTGCGTTTTGAGAGTTTATGCGGTTTGAAAACGTTGAAAACAGCGTTTTCACACCGCACCTAGATAGGTGCAGTAGCAGTTTTCTGACAGCGTTGGCAGCTTTCTGGCTACGGTCTGACTTTTCAAAAGAAAATAACTTATCTAAATTATTATTTTTAATCAATTTATCAGCAAATTATTCAATAAGTTGAAGCTGACCCAAAAAGACCCTGAGTCTTAAGCAAATTTTTTCCACGAAATGGAGGGTAAATGAAGCATACCATACGACAACCTCAATCCACCGCAGAATTACTGCACATCGCTGCCCTATTCTCGCATTCTCAGCCCTCCCCTACCGTGCTGCTCCTCAACCGCCTTCTACCCCTAACTTCCCGGCTACCGGCTGCCGGCCGCCGGCCCGCGCCCCCCCGCTGTTAACTTTGCCTCCTATATATCTTACCGAGTCCAACTATCCGCCTCGTTTTTTTCCCCACATTCACTCCCCCTTACCGGGCTCGAATAGTCGCCGGAAACGTTTTAGGCACACTGAAGCTGCCGTTCAAACTGGATTTAAAAGCAACAGCGGAAGTTTGGTAATCTCTCTCACACCGTCTTTGCCAACTGATCCGGAACCCTAGACTCCTCCGATAAAATAATGTGAATGTGAACGCTGCCATTGTATTATAACTGTTAGGCTTGTCGCGTGTACTTATTTAGTTATTTATGGTTCATTTACCCACAATTGCATATTTAGGAATCAACCTATGCTTCCCCAATTGCGCACTTATTCTATTCATAGCATCATCTCCACCCTTTCTGTACCTCACACTGATGAACAACTATTTTGCTTGATTCTGTTCAAATCAGTGTAATGTTACGATCGTATTTGAAATCATGAAAAGTTGCTGGGAAGCTGGAACTAATAAAATCCACACGAAGATCCAGACTTGCCAAAAAAAAAAAGGGAAAAATCAGTTTGTAGTAGCCTAGCAGGCTTATAAAAACTTAATCACGCAAGCAAGAATCAGTGTAATGTTACGATCAAATCAGTGTAATGTTACGATCAAATCATGAATCTATTTTGCTTGATTCTGTTCAAATCAGTGTAATGTTACGATCGTATTTGAAATCATGAAAAGTTGCTGGGAAGCTGGAACTAATAAAATCCACACGAAGATCCAGACTTGCCACAAAAAAAAAGGGAAAATCAGTTTGTAGTAGCCTAGCAGGCTTATAAAAACTTAATCACGCAAGCAAGAATTAATATAAAATACATATGTAAAATTGAATTATGATATAAGCCATCAAAGTTCAAAGCCACACAGTAATACGAGCAATGTTTTGTTCTTGAAATCTATTCAAAATCTTAAAAGAACTTACACTGAACAGCACACAAGTTCAAAAGGAGTTATGATTTTTGTTGAACTAAAAATTGGATTTTAAATGCTTAAAGATTTTTTTTTAATCAAGCGTAAAACCATATTTGGTAGGTTCACAAAAAATTGTCTTAAAACATCAAAATAATGAGTTCCATAGAAAAAACAACAAACATAAGATCTTTCAACTCAGAATGGTAATTGGAGTATTTCTGCTAAACTGTTGAGCCAATAGAACATGGCAATAATCAATTGTCTAGTTATAGCTTGAAAGCTATAGAAGTAAACCAACCAATCATTCAATTATATTTCCAACTCGAAAGTTAAAGAAGAGTATTATAATTTATGATGCGAATAACACACCATGACACAAAGATTTTCTTGGAACCATAGCGCATTGTGCTTGGTGTAGGTGTGCTATTCTAAACATTGTGCAGAATATTAAAAATTTATGGATAAATATGAAGTTCAATATGCTTGAATACAACTATATATAATCATCATATGTAAGCATTAACAACCACAGTCCTTTTTTTATTTCACATATATTCCAACCATTTTGTTTATATGGGATGATAAATACAAGGGTTAAATACATTGTCAAAGCTGAGTGCTTGGGAAAAGCGTGAGCAAGGGATGTGGAGTGTCATCACCATTCATTTGGACTCGTTGCAAAGCACACGTAGAATCGAAGTTGATTTAGAGCTACAACTAGATTAGAGCCTTTTTTTGCGTGGGTTATTTGCCATAGGAAACTTATGATTGGAATAAATTAACAAATAAAATAATTGAATAATATTAAAATTAATTAGAAGTCATAAAGTAAAGGAATAATAATGGCACACTATAACTGCAATGTGCTGTGCTATTGCCCATCTGTAGTTGTAAGCAGCGTATGACTTTTTGACAACATGCCTTGTCAGGCAGATAGCACGAGAGGTGTGTCTCGCCACACCACACTATGCACAATAGCTCATGATATTGTGCAGTATTGACATGCATGATGGAAATAGACATCTTATTTGATTATACCTACACAAAGAAAGTCGTGAAAATGAGCAATAATATTTGATCTATCATGTAGTATAACATGTTATATCATTTAAAGTAGCAATAATAACATTGAACCGGTCTCTGTTATAGTAAAAAATAGAAAGGGAAGGAAGTATTATGCTTCAATTTGCTTGACTTGGAAAAAATTGTCCTCAATAAGTTGAGTAATGTATGCTATGCAAAATTTTGCTTATTTTGTCATGCTTGTAAAATATTCATGAATTCACATAAGTAACTCTAACATACCAATGCACAAATTATCTTTAATACCGACCATCAATAGTGAATACAATTTAATAATTTTGAATACCTGATCGAATATAGAATTATTTAGTTAAGCACTTAATTCAATTTCACAGAAAACATGTGAAAAATGGAAAAATCCAAGATACTGTGTTGGCTTCACGAAGGTCCTCAAGGCATCTTTTTCATCAGTTTGCTGAATAGATTGCTGCCATATTGCTTTTTGACTGATGCTTTATTGTCTTTTCTTAGCAATTAATGCAGCGAGCAGCAATTTTTTTTTCCTACAAGATATGCTAGAGTGTTAGTTATAAGCTGTTTTTTCTTAATTTTTTTAAAATTATAATTCCATCAATGACTTGCAAAAAAGTCGTTATCCATATAGCAACTTTATAATTAATTTTACAAAGAACCACCACTATCCCAAACAAATTTTAAATAAGGTCAAATTAGATATACGTATGATCAAAAATAGTACTTGAGTTTTTTTTTTTTTTTTCCAATTTACAATTATTGCTCCTAATGTTTGTGTGATTTTATACGGTCACAATTTTTTTATATTAGTTTTTAAAATTTTCATAGGTGCCATTATAGGATTTGAACACCTTATCACCTACTTTAAATTCCACATTTCTCTTGTTTGAGCAAGTAGTATATTTATAATTGCCCTAAATAAATCAATTTCCTTTGAATATTTTGCATACAAATGACTAATACGTTATGAAGCAAGTAATGAAAATATTGAAATGCCAACATGCATCCGAATATATACTTATAAGAATCTATAATTAAGGTAAGGTGATAATGAAAATTCAAAGCAGATAAATTTATAAATATGATATGTTTATATGAATGAACATCCTACTCAATGTATCAACTAAAACGACTTAAGAACTACAATGCCTTATGCACTTTCTGATATCACTGCATAGCGGGAGTTTTGAATTTCATGCTTTCTTTAACATAATCACACTTTTCCAATCATAAAAAATGCTGGCACCACACAATTTACTTTGTAAGGTTATATTTAAGAGTTTGGGAATCACAAAATTAAGAGCCAAAAATAAAAGTTTATTCAGTTTGATTCGTAGAAATAATTTTTCTAAAAGCTCCATCATTAGATAAATCAAAGTAATCTATTGCTTTATTAATTACCTCGGGCATATTTTTTTCTCTTTCTTATTCTAGAATCACATTATTTGATGCGGGTGCATCCCTTATTGGATTGAAGGGATCCACAATCCAGTTTCTAATATTTCGTGTTCCCGTTGGTTTTGCAAATCCCGCGATCCCATATCTACGAAACGAGCTAGTCCTGTCTCATCCGCGTGCAACAACTGCTTGTTCCCTGATTTCGTCCTTAATATTTGTCATTTTCTGATTTCATCCCAATTGTTTACTTTTACTTGGTTTTTTTCTGGAAGGAAGCTATTTGTATCTTGTTATTTTCTTTTTTCTCGGGCTTTGGCTTTGTTTACATTATTTGAAGTTGTTTTCTCTTGGTTTTTCCCTATTAGATTGCTCTTTTTTTTTCAGGCAGTGTGTCTGTAGCCTAATAAGATCAAAGTGGTGATCTCTCTCGCACGTTCGAAGACTTCTTTCATTGTCCAATCTGCTGCCTAGTGCAGTTTGATTGCAGAAAACAACAGTTTTCCGCTTTCGATTCGCCATCACCCGTTGTTCAAGATGGATTTCAATCGACATCCATACTCTTGCTTTCTTTTCCTATCCAACAACTTACTTACCATTTTCGTGTGCTCTTAAATACCTTATAAGAGCCTCAGAGCAGTATCATCTGGTATCAGAGCCTGACAATTGCCAGAGCTTTACAATTTTATCTTTCTTGCTCCAAACAAAAGTTCCAAATAACCTAATCTAGCACCCAACTAATTTTATTTTTCCACTAATCATTCATATTAAATTTCTATCCTCAATCCTAAGTTTTCAAAATTCAACTTCACCAAAAATTCACCTCAATATCTACCATCAAAACCTCAACCAACTTTTGATTCACAATCCTACACTCGTCGGAATCTTGATTGGGAGAAATAGACATTATGTCAACAAGGAAAACCTCTCAATGAGGTGCCTAAGAATTTGTTATGGAGGACATGCAATGAGAAATCCTTCAACTGAAACAGAGGCTTACTGTTTTTGAGAGGAGACAACCTGATGTGATGGCCCGAAGTCACAATTTTGACTCGCCAAATCGAGAGTAGGAAGTAAATCCCTTCCACTTGATAATTTTCAGTGATGAGAAACTAATATTTCAATAATTTTGCCTAAAATATCAGAGGAGAAACTAGGATCTTGAAATGAAGATTGACTGACTTGTTGGATTTTGATTGTGGCATGGATCCAAACGAGTTCATCGAGTGACTGCAAAAAAGTGTAACATGCCTTTGAGTATCGGGACGTCTCATCGGAAATAATGATAAACCTAGCTGCCATTAAATTAAAGAAAAGTGTATATTTGTGATGAGAGAATTTAAAATTTTTTGGACAACAGAAAGGAAAAACAAAATTAATACTTGGTCGAAGATAAAATGAGAGATATAATGTAATTACCTACTATTTTAGTACAAACAAGACATGTTATGTAGATTTCATCACTTACAACAACGATATTGCTCAGTAGAAGAGCACACAACCGAGTTCGAGTAGCTTATGTAGAAATGTGAGATAGTGGAGCCCAAGGAGCACAACTTAACTCGATATCTGTGATGATTGAGATCGTTCATTGAAAATGAGGTATAAGTACAGTAATATCGGACATTACATGATGCTAAAATCCTTGCTTCAAAGGTGGAGAAATAACATCACCGGGCTACCGCTGCACTTTACTGGCAGAGTTCAACCTTAGGATCAAGCGACAAGAATACATCCGAAGCAGCATCCAAGCCGATCCCGCTTGAAGAGAA